AGTAGGGTTTAAGCTTCTTAGCTCTAAAAATTCGTTTGAGATGATCTGTATGTTCATCCTGATGAGCAAAGTAGACACCTATTGCATCTTGAAGATACTTTTCAGAATGTCTATTTGTTTCTGGATCAATAAGACCTTTATTGTTTGGATTGATTGTACACTTTGTATTAGAGAGTTTTTTGAGAATATCAATATAAGAACCTCCAAGAGCTTGACAAAGTGTAAATGATTCATTAAGTATCATTTCTAATTGAAGAAGGATTTTACTTGATTCTTCTTTTAAATATTTCTCGATCTTGTGATCAATTTCTACATCAAATTGGATTATATACTCATTTATATATTATTCAGAGAGAATTTTACGTTGATGGCTTCTATAATATGAATGATGATATTTGATAGTATAGTTTATCTGATCTGAAGGATTACCTGTTTCTTTATAGGAATATGATACATACATAGCATATATGACTAATGCTGATTTTATTTGATCTTTTCTTTGAAGTACTTCTTTAAGAACATTTGTAATTGAATTACGTGTTGATGCTATAAGGTGAGGCATATATGTGCATCTGCATATTTTTTCGAATTGTCTTGCTCTTTATTGAATACATATGCTGGATTCTTACATAAAGGAATAACCCCCTTCCATACAGTTATGAGCTATGTTGTTTTGCAGAATCACGCTCTCTTTCTAAAAATACTATATTATTATTAAGTGATTCCTTTTCTTTGTAAATTCCTTCTGATTTCTTATAAATTGACTGAAAATGTTTTCCCTTAGCAAATTTCTTTTGCACTTCATATTCTTGTCTATGAGCTTAATTTAATGGATTAGTTTCTTCTTATGACTAGAAGTCTCAGAGGCTTGGGTAACCACTTCTGCTTGTGGTTTAAAAGATTTTGGTCAAACAGAATTGGGTATTGATGTTTAAATAGTCTTTGGTTTAATAATAGGTTCAGATAAATTTTGACAACATTAATATTATTTTTCTCGATAACATTTAAGTTTTCATAATTTGGGAAAGTTTTTATTATATCTATCACAATTATAATTAACCATTATAGTATTACACTTGATATATAATACTTATAAAAGTTTTTCTTTAAATATTAATTATACCTTGTGGGTTTTATACCTTCCAATACTATAACAGTCTGCGTTCTAAGGCCCTAATGAATAGTAGATAGTCTATTAAAATTTTGGTATCCTGTTCAGAATTTTGGTATTTATTACTATTTTTTTTGACTTAATGTTTATGAGAAAGGAATGGCTTTAGAATTGATTTTTATATATTGTGAAATTACTGGTATACTGGAATGTAATTTATAGCTTTTAAACTTTATTGTATACATACAGAATTTTGGTATTCATATCAATATGGATACTGAAATTATGATCTTATTAGATGAATTTGAATCTGCTTTAGAATTTATTCTAGGATATCATGAAATATGGTATACATTTTAGTCTTACATGGTCAGATCCAACTCAAATCACGTCACTTTGTTTCTTGATTTTTGATGGCACCTTCTGAGGCAAACAGAATAGTAAAATTTTTTTGATATATTATTTGGGATTAAAATCAGGCTAGAATGGCTATATCAAATAGTATAATTCTTGATATTTGAAGGCTAATTCCTAACAAAATTCAATATCATCATCTATATTTGAGTTAAATTGTGCTAAAGTTTTGAATTTGATAATTTGATTTATATAGCTAAAATAGATTCGTAGGTGATCAGGAATCTTTCTGAGTACTATTTGGAATTTTGTTTCAGAACCCTTCTTTTTGCCATAGTTATATCTATGATTACTTTTTGAAGTCTAAAGATCAGTGATAAAATTAATTAATATAACTATATTATCAAGTAAGTAAATAAGTTATTCTTTACTTTAAATATATATTTTATAAATTAAATTTTGTCATATGGTATTTGTAGTATTGCAAATCCAGGTTCATAAGTATTAACAAATTTATGAAAAGTATTATTTTTAAAAATATACAATAGTTGAACAATTTTAATAATAAATTTTAATAAAAGTTATGCAAGTTCTTTTTATTAAGCATTATTACATTAATAATTAAATGATTGTATTTGATTTATTTTAGCTAATATAAAATTTAAAATATTTTAGATTATAATTTTTAAATATTATAAACATTATTTATATTATTTATATCTAAATATTTCAAAAAAATTATATTTTGTTATATCATGTTTATTTCGTAAATGACAAGATATATTTATAAGAATAAGGGTTTATATTAGTTTATTTACAGATTTTACAATATGCTATTTTATTATTATTAGAATTCTTATAAAAAAAGTAGTATGACTTCTATTATTTCTTGTAGCTGGTCTATCATTGTCAAAACTTAAAATATTTTTCATGTTTTGCATTTATTAAAAGTGCTTATAGAAGAATGGTAATTGTAAAATAAGAGTTAAATATAGTAACTTAAAAGTTAGAAAGAGTGAAGATGAGAAAAAATTTTTTCTTTCATTTTTAATTTAATTTAAAGTTTGAAAGGAATATCCTGAAAGATTTTCACATTTGAATAATTTTTAATTATTAAGAAAATTAATTACTGAAAAATAATTTGATTGAAATGCAAGTTTATGTAACTTTTAATTAATTGAACACAAAAGGTTCAAGAAATTATTGATTGATAATGCAAGTTTTTGTAACGTTTCTAATTTTATTCTGAAAAATGTTATTAGTAAATTCATTTTAAAAAAAGTAACTACCTTTATAAATTTTTTTGGATGATCAGATTTATTAAATCTGGATGAAACAAATAAACTGGATTTATTAAATCTGGATGAAATGAATAAATCAGATGTAATAAATCCAGATGAAATGAATAAATCAGATGTAATAAATCCAAATGAAAAGAATAAACCAGATGTAATAAATTTGGATGAAATGAATAAACTGGATGTAATAAATCTGGATGAAATTAATAGAATAATTCAGATGTAATAAATTCAGATAAAATGAATTAACTGGATTTATTATATGTGGATGAAACGAAAGAATCGTATTCAGATGAAAATAAATTCAAATCAAAGGAAACTGGATTTAAAATCGAAGGTTAAATATCCAGCCTCTAGAACCGATCATCAAAAATGTATTGCACCAAAATCATATGGAACCTTTGCAATAGAATGACAATCATTGTCTTTTTAGATTTCATTGTTTGGTATTTCTATTGCAAAGCCTATATCTTCTCTACTTTCTAATTTTTCTAATACATGTAATATAAAATAGTAATGAAATGATAATAAAATAATACTAAAACAAAATATAATAATAAATACTAATGATAAAAATAAAATTGTAACAATATGTTAAATTTTATTCCCTTTCATAATGTTTTTTTATTATACTTTAAATTCAATAATATGTGACATCTTATAGCAAAGATATGGATTCGAACAATCCAAAATTTATCTCGAACATAATTAAGAAAGAATCAATGGTATGCAAATACAATTTAAAATAACCATAAAAATGAACCAGACAGGAAAATATGGTCATTAATTTCCATAGTTAATAAATCGGATCGTTTCGACATCATATTAATTCGCTATTTTGTAATGGAACTTTCACCATTCATTTCGCCGAGACCGTTATTGAAAAAATGATCGCGTTCACATTTCAAGCCCGAATTTTCGTGACATCCAACACTTAAATTATACCGAAAATGCCCGAGTTCATTTCAATAAGAATTATAGAACTTATTTTGACATCTGTTAATCAAGAAAATCACTTGGAGTCGTTGAAATGATATCGTCGTAAATTGTCGAATCGGTATGGAACTGGTTTATGTTCTTGTACTAAAATCTTGCATTGTAAATCGGATATGTACTCCTTAGTTAATCTTAGGACCTTACATCAGACATATCATTTCACAAGGTTCATTTGTCAGCCCTGCCAGATAAGTAATGAAATATAAAAGCGGGTATCATTTTTTTTTTTTTTGCTCTATTACTATATTAATAATAATCCCGAAAAAAACATGCACGAAAAATTAATTTATGCGCAAAGATTCCTCTTTGCCTCAGAGATCCCAATCATTAATGAGAAGATGACGGAATATCCGATTCGATTAATTTGTTAACCTATATTTCGTCAAAGGCTCAAATAGTTAATTGAAGAATTAGACTCCATTTAAAAGTAAAAAAAGGATTTGCAAGTCTATTTATTTTTTTTATTTTAAAACAAGACATAAATTAAAAATAATGAACTTTATTTTTCTCTTAATTTTCAAATATAGACTGTATACCCGATACCGAAATTACGAAATAGTGATCATCTTTAATGTTCGGGGTGACAAATTGAGCCGAAACTTAATCATTTTTAAATTAACGTTTATGATTAATACGTCAATTGTTTCGTTAAAAAAAGAACATATCGAGTTGTTATTAATGCAGAATAATAAATGGTCGATAATTCCATTAACCGAGTTCCGAAAGTAAGTACAATATTATATAATTTGACATTAAGCTTGTGAAAATATTAATAATAATAATAAAAGGGGAAATCATGCGATAATATTTATTTTTGTATTCTTTCAAAAAAAAATTTTGTCAATCGAATACTGCCAAATGCGGTCAGATTAATTAAGGTTTGAGCCAATAAATCCAATCGGAGTTATTTTATAAAATATATGCACAAATTTATAATAATTAATTATTTACATAATGATGATGAAAATATTTACTTCAAAATAATAATACAAAAAGAGATTTGTGTCGTATATAATAAATTTTATTGTTTATCTTTTCATTCATAATTAAAATTTAATACAAAAAATCTACGCTATCATTTCAAAATGGTGTGTTTTTTATTTATCATCAACAATATTCGAAAATTTGATGCCTATCTGTGTAACCATCCAAAAGTACGGCATCCAATCAAAGGACCCGATTTAAATTAAAATGATATGCTTGTGTAATATGGTATGTTGTGCGAAATTAAATTGTATATCTTAAAATTGTCTAGGTTTAATTTTAACATTTAAATCGTGAAAACTTCTAAGAAGTATGAATTTAGCTTTGCAAGGATTCTTCATATTTGATAACTCGATGTCCAATTTATGGTAAATTAAGGCAATCATGACCCTGAGTTCAATAAATGACAACTTTCTGCCGGGACAAACTCTACGACCTCCTCCAAAGATTATATGTGGTGGTGATGTTTTCATGTTAAGAAATCTGTCGGGGTTAAATTTTTCAGGTTCATCCCAATATTTTTCGTTGTGATTTACACCATGAATATTTATGATGTATTGTGTTCCCTCGGGCCACACAAGGTCTGCAACAATATCCTCTGCGGTGCTATTTCGTGCGGTGTATGGTGCAGGTGTGAACATTCTAAATGATTCTTTGATGATTGCATCGGTGTAAACTAAATCCGACAAACTTTCGAGATCTAGACGTCGATCGCCCATTTTTTTGAAGAATGCGTCAAGCTCGACTCGAAGTCGCTTTAATACATCGGGATGATATGCCAAGTAATAAACGATAAAAGTAAACATGTTGGCAGTCTAATAAATAAATAAAAGATAATTAATAAATTATACACGAATTAAAATTTTTATTTTATTTTAAAACGTACCGTATCAATTCCACCGACAAATGTTTCCCATAAAACTCCACGGATTATTTCGTCGTTCATTGGTTGAGTATGTTCTTCATCGGCCATTTTAATTTCACAAATATCACGATCCGTATTAGCGGTTATCATAGAGGTTAACATGTCAAATCGGAGTGGCTCGCTTCGAGGGGTGTATTCAATTTCTTTCCTTCTCTGTTTAATAATCTCATCAACGAAGTTAAATAACCAGTCACGATTCTTTAAATGATTTTTTGATGTATTTCCCAAGATTGGAAAATGTTTTCGAATCCAAGGTGGAACGATTATGAAGAAATAGATTCCAACGATTAAAGTTTTAATGCTATTAAAGAATTTCGAGGCATCATGCAAATCATTCTTGGAAGCTTTTTTGGGTTTCCTGTTTTGTCCTGCCAACAATTCATTGAAATATGCTTCAGTTGCATGAATTCTCATCCCGGTTGTGAAATGAGTTATAGAGTCTGTCGTAAATCTATGACACCATTCTACGAGTTCGGTATCAAAACATCCATTTTTGTCAGATCCATCTTCCCAAAAACCCATCATTTCCTCAACTAGATTTTGGGTCCAAATGACAGATGATTTCGAGAAACTAGGAGTGAGTAACGCTCTAGAAATGAAGTGTCGATTATATTTCCAAACATTTACATCATGGTTTAACGCAATCCCTTTTCCAGCAATGCCTAATTCTTCCAAACCAGCAATGTATGGAATACGTCTCAGGTATCTTGAATTTAAAGAGTAGTCAAACATGTTTTGCATATATTCGAATTTACTCAACATGATGAACCTTTTTGGTCCGAAATAAATTTCAAACATATCGCCGTACTTTTTTCGCATACGTTCGGTATAACAAACGAAATCATCGAAACCTCTATCCATGATATTACCAATGAAAGGTAACGGGACTGGACCGGGTAATGGATTCTCTCGTGTATAATAACTGAAATAAAAGTAACTTGTGTAAACTATGCATAATGTTAAAAAAATTAACATTAAATCATATATCCCTATTGAAGATATTATTGTGCTGATTAATGCCATTTTTTTTTCTTTTCTTATTTTCTAATCTAAATGATATATGATATTTGACGAATGATTATGTTTTCCGTAAAATTTTTTTTTTTTTGAGAATTTTTTTTTGAAAAAAATTTGTTTTTCTAATGTTACAAAAGTTTCAATATTTATATGAAATTTACATACTCGTCGGAAATCACCTTATTTTTAAAGTTGTTATATCCAATTCATCGAGACATCACCAAATTTAGATTAGTATAATTTACCCAGGTTCAAAAATCGAATGCACTGTACTTGGTACATGGGATGGTCCAGGTCTGTATTTGGCATTTCCGGATCAACATGGGAGAAAATACATGTTCGGATCATATGATTTACTGTGTCTCGTAACCAGATTTTAATAGCAAACCACCCACATGTTGGAATCGATCTTATCAATTAGGAGACAATAATAAATCAAAATCGTAATTTAATATACAGTTATTAAATGTTTTGAGGTTGATCTCGTGGATAAAAGTCGGACAAAACTATTGTTTTGTAGATTCAATGGATATACTGTATATATATATATTTTTTTTTAAAAAAAAAAAAAATCAGTTAAAAATGTTTGATCGCCAATAATATTTAAGTTTACCTTTCGAATGGATATTAAAACGAAATAAACAAATATTGTTGTGCACTTCAAACACCTATTATCCGAGAATGCAAGACAATTCTTAGCCAGACTTTCAAAATTGAACGACTACGAAAAAGGTTTGTCAAATATTTTGGTACACAGGATCAGACAAAGATAATTTTTATCGAAATCAGCGGTTATTTCTTTTAAAAAAATAGATGATGATTAACTAGCGAATGTTTATCTAATTCAAACGAGAGGTTAATTATAATGAATGAAACCAAATAAAGAAAATTTGGTAATTCGCGGCGATAACCGACTCTACACATTTGTGGGTATACTAGCCCGAAAAACAATTTTTTTTTTAAAAAAAAAAAAAATTATTGAAATTATACATTATTTCTTTGTTTGCGAACATTTATTTGTTTATGCACTTAATATACCTCGTATTCAGTTATAGGACGTTGATTTACTTGTTGTGTTAAGGTACTGCGGTCATATAAGATGAGGCATTATTGAACGAGGATAATCATACCAACTTTATTAAAAAATTTTCCGTGAAAAATATTTTTAGAATGCATCAAACCAAAGCGAGTTAAAATGATAATCTGCCTGATGCAAATATAGTAATTACCTACATTTTGATGTAGTATTCAAATTTTATGGGTTTAATTTGTGATCTATTGTTTTGGTGCAACATTTTTGAGAATTTTCTAACTTTCGACCAATTAGACATAGATACCCTGGTTTTATGGTTTTAAGTTAAGGAAAGGAAATAATGAGAAACAATGAAACGTTTCAGACATTACGTTACGATCGTTAAAAATAAGAATAATCGTAAAAAAAAATTATTGTGAGTTAATATAATTCATTTTTTTTTTTACCCTTTTTTATTTATGCTGCTGCAACACAAGCATTTTCACATCTAATAAACTTTCTTCATACAATCGGGATCGAAACAACATAAGATGCAAAAACAAGAATATTTGTAGCCATGTATGTATATGCCCGAAATATATAAAACTATTTTCGAGAACGATAGGTTACACGAATGGCATGACCAATTACAATGACAATTCTTTGATTAACAACAACAATGAAGAACTAATAGAAACATGACAATAACAGTTTACGATTCTCCCTTTTCCAAGAGAAAATCAGGCAATTATTATCACTTTATAATCAGTTTAACTAATAAATCATGATCCGGATCACCCGGTCGGCATGATTTTCACATAGGTTACCTGTCAAATGTGTTTAGTATTTTCGAATAGAAAAATAAAATTTTCATCAGAAACTGTAAGATAATTTTTGGTCAAAATTTTAAATCACGTGCAACAAATTTTGTTGAAAATTTTATTCATTCAAAAAAAAAGAAAAAATATTCTAAAATCAAAAATTTAAAGAACTTTTTCGCATATACATATGATAATAAAAGTTTCTTAACTACAGCATACTTTGCAGATTCAGTGTAACTTATCAACATTCGTCGAATAAACGATAAGTTAGTTAGGGTTGTAACAATTCTTGGCAAAATTATGCTATTAGAATAATCTCTGGAGCAATAAGGTTCGCAGTTTTGATGCAAGGATGTTCATTAGATGGTGAAATGTGATCTACAGATATTGATATTTCAATCAACGATTTAAAAATTCATTAAATTTACGTTCAATTGTCTGTATATTGTAGTTTACAGAACTTTAAAAAGCTACAACATTAATATGCTCTTCATCATATAATTACCGTATATTTATTAACAAAGATATTAAAGAATTAACTAGTTAATTTTATGAAGTTACAAAATTACAATTTCTGATTTACGTCAGTCAGGTGTGATTTGAGCGTATTTATACATAAAATTGCCTATTTTTGGATTTCTTATGACATCATCAAAAATTTGGTAGCGATTCACCTAATGGACTTGAAACATTTATTTAGATCTATTGATGGGATGAGGATGCATAAAAATAAACTGATTCATGTAAACTTATATTTTACAAGTATCTTATGTCATCAACAAAGGTACACAAAAACTTTATGAAGGCTCGATTATTTTGTTAGCATGACCTTTATTTTTATTCACCAAATTCTCCCTATTTGTTATTTTAAACTTATTTGTTGTCGGCGACGAACTGAAGTTATGTACTGTAATTCATTTATTAAAATCTTTTTTTTTACGTTCAGAATCATGATGCCAACACCAAATTTTTTTTTCAACAAATGCTAAAGTAATCAGCGAAAGCGAATTTTTATAATAAAAACAAATAATAAAAAAATTATTAAAGTTGGAACCATAATGAATTAATAAAAGATAAATTTGTTCTTGGTTTCTGTAAGAGGCATTGCTGGTTATATTATACAACATCACCTTGGATAATTTATGTACAAAAAAAAATTATTAAAAAAAAGGTGTCGTGATGTAACGATCTTAATGTCTCTCTTCTTGAATATATCAATATTTATTAAAATCAGATGTCTACGTTGCTAATTTATTGAAAAATTTATTTACTTTTAATCTATTTCCGCTATATGACGCTAGTAACCTACATTTTTTTTTTCATTGAGTGATGATATAAATATCCGTCGTTGTTGTATTTCTGAAAACATAGCATTCTTAAAAATACATCTTTCGGCTATTTCCTTCTTAAATATTATGAAAAGTATAGCAAGTCAAGTAAAACTTTTATATTCAAGTTAAAAAAAAAAATTTAAAAATTAATCAATTGAAGCTGAATTTGATTGGCCAGGACTACAAACAATTATTTGTGCGACCAATTTATTCCATAGTGATATCATGTTTAGGAATAGTATCGGTATGTATAAATTATCGTAAAATGTAAATAAAATCGGTCTGCGTCGTCCAATAAAAATTTATTTTTCATATAATGTATTTATTAAAAGACAACGAAATAATGTTCAAAATACAATTTAAGCAACTTTAACCGTCATTTCACAACTGATTTTGTTCATTAATGTTCAGATTCTGTTGTAAACTTTCTAAATGATTTTCTAATTCTTGGACTTCTGTTTGTTTGTTTAAGAGTGTTTGCAGCTCTTCTTCAGTTAAACTACCAACAAGAAGGGTTTGATAAGCTTCTATTTTGCCACTTAATTTATCTCGCTGAGCAATATTGCTGTTCTGCAAGATTTGCTTTTGGGTTTCTAAGATTAAGTCAACAATGTAAGAAAGATTGCCCGATTTGTTTTTTGCTTCTGAAATTAGCTGAACCAACTTCGTGGTTTCATTTCTTACTTGCGGTTCTAATTCTTGGGCTTTAAGTCGGATAATGTCTTGTTTAAGTTTAAGGAAATTATACGGTTTATTTGGAAAAGCTATATTGGACAAATCGTCTATCTGACTTTGTTGATCATTGATAGTTTGCTGATATGCTTGATTTTCCTGTTGGAAAATAGCGAATTGTTGCTCTCTTTAATTCTTTGGAGTTGAATTTGAATTTGCTGATTAGATTGCTTTAGCAAATTCTTATTCTCTAGGCAACTTTCTCGGAATGCTTTGGCAATATAAGCATGGTCTCCTGCTTGGGGCAACCATAATGACTGTAAGTTAGGCGTATGTGCCAAAAAAGAAAAATTATCAATTCCAGTACCAGAGATGTTTATAAAAGTAATTTTGTTCGAATGAGCAAGTTTTAAACTTGTTAAATGAGAACTGAGCCCAAGGACTACCTTGGTTAAATTAGAATATTCTGACAAATCTAAATGTTCTCCAAAATATTTATTCTTTGCATTGTTTGCTTTGATCTCTTTAGAATCTTTAGGAAAAAGGAATTCTTTGAAAAATTGATAATTTTTTTCCATATTATTAATTTTAAAAGGTGATAGAAGTAGAAGTTTGAAGACATTGAACTTTGATATTTAAATAGTTGAAGGGATTTTTTAAGGAAAAAAAAAAATAATTAATTAAAATTTATAATCATTGACATTTTTGTGGCTGAATTACATTATTATATACCGCCATTGTTATCTTAATTAACAAATCATAAATTTTTTTTTAATTAGGGCGTTGAATTCACATCGCATAATTTTGACTCTAAGTTCAGACGGATTGATAAATATTATTACGAAATGTTGTAACTACTATTGGTAAAACCTCGGTAAATATACATAAATAGTTAGTTTAACACAAAGTGACATTCAAAATAATTCTAGGGAATATAATTGTTCTAACAAAAGCATCAAGTTCATTTGTATAAGAGATACACTTTCAATAAATTATGTAATGGCTCATAAAAATTCCCTGGTAAAAAATTCTTTCATTTTCCTTATATACTGTATATATAAACATTATATAGTAAAAAAATTTTTTACAAATTATATAACATTTTCATTATAATATTACGCATTTTTTTTTTTTTTTTAAAAAAAGTAATGACTCCTATTTATTACTTTCACTATATAATCAAATCGGTTGTTATTTTGTTACAAACATCCCATAGACCATTTAATAGCAAATGAAAGTGATTAATTTAGTATTTTTTTTTTTCGGAAACTAACTAACAAACTTCTTGCTTCATGCCATTTTAAAAATAAAATTCCTTTGTCGATTGATAATTGTTGACCAAAGTGAGATCTTTTACGTTTTTAATAATTAATTGAAGTAACTTTTCCTTATAAATTAATAATTCGGGTGACGATCCTGATTTATTTAGTGTAACAATAATTTTTCAAAAAAAAACCAGGGGAGGGTCACCCCCGCAAATCCAACCTTAAAGAGGAACGTAATAATCAGTCGCTGCGCCCGAAGCCATTAAATCGGAAATCAAAAAAAAAAAAATATTCAACGTGATTTGAAACGGCCAAACAAGAAATTAAACAATAAAATCAAACCATCTTTCCTGATACCTGCTTCACAATCTAATGATCAAATATGAAGAGAAAAGAACGCAGGCTGAATCGATTTCCTGATCGATGCCTTTATCATTTCTAAATTAAAAGTAGGAAAAAAAAAAATAATTTTTGTCTTTATTATTCTCGACTAAACCAAAATTTACTTGTATATATTTTTTGTTATGAATATAATGAATATAATATTTATAATATGATATAAGAATAGGGAGGATGAAATGTTTAAACCTTGTTTAGCTATTGAACTAACGCAAAATGGTAGGTACAAGCTTTTCGGCATGCTAATCAATGCGTTATCTCATTTTTGTCGTATTATGTTGCATGTTTTCAAATATTATACCAGTATATTCTGATTATTACCTTGTTCACTTTTTCTTGTTCTTTTATCAGATATAAATAATTACGTTAAAATAGGAAATCACAGACAATATAGTATTGCCTAGATTTTTTTACTTTACTAAACGTGCAATTTTTAACTTGAATATATATTTTTTTTGGTATTATTGTACATATCTGTTAGTGAAATCTTTGACATATGTATTTTTTTGTGATTTTCTGTGGTTCCTTGAAAAAAAGTGTGATTTCAAAGTTTTAATTTGAATATATATTTGTTTTTTAATAAAACTTCTTGTAAATACATATATTATAAATAAAGTGTGTATATTTATTAAAATATAAAAAAAAGGGTAATACTATTTGGCGACCCTGTCGCCATGGCGACCCTATCACGTGATTCGAGTTTGATTGGACAGAATGTAAT